TGCAGAAAGAAAGGTAACTAGTGCTTGGTGATCTGTACGTAATGTGAAGTGCTGGCCCCACAAGTAAACATGCCATTTCTCACAGGCAAAAAGACACGCGAGAGCTTCACGCTCTCCTACTGAATATCTGCGTTCAGCAGGGGTCAATGTACGAGATGCAAAAGCGATAGTGATCAGCTGATCACCTCTGAGTTGTTGAAACACTGCTCCCAGTCCAACATCGGACGCATCCGTCGTGATGACGATGGGAAGCTTCTCATTGAAAATACTAACAGCTGGCTTTGAGGCCAGTATTGACTTAACTCGAATTAGGCTCTGCTCAGCTTTAGCTGACCAGTTAAAAGGCTGTGCTTGACGAAGTAGAGTACGCAGTGGTTCAACAACATCAGCATAGTGAGGAACAAACTTGGCATAATAACCAACAAGACCTAAAAAAGATTGCAAGGTTTTGGCATCAGTAGGCCGTGGGGCATTGACAATGGCCTGAACTTTAGATTCAACAAGTGTCAAGCCACGGGAACTGACATTATGTCCTAGAAATTGTAACTCATTCACAAAAAATGCGCTTGTTATTAAGTTTCATACCACATTCACTGATGCGGTTGAGAACAGTATGCAAGTTAGCATCGTGCTCTTCGCGAGTACGTCCCCACACCAAAATGTCATCCAAGTAACAAAGGGCGCCATTACAACCCTTAAGAATAATTGACATCAATTTCTGAAACACTGCAGGGGCAGATGCAAGCCCGAAACAAGCCTTCGTGCGATACAAATGTGGTTAAGTCTCTACTGCACTAGGAAAGTTCAACTTGGTGATAAGCGGACGCGAGGTCCAGCTTGGAGAAATATACCGCTCCGGAGAGCTGATGAAGCAGTTCTTCAACGTGAGGAAGTGGAAAACCATCTACGACGATCGCCTTGTTCGGTTCTCGTAAGTCGACGCATAGTCGAAGGGATCCATATTTTTTCTTGATGACGACCAGTGGAGAAACCCAGTCGGAAGCAGAAACAGGCTCGATGATTCCGCTGGCTTGAAGGCGAGACAGTTCCACAGAGACTTGCTCACGGAGAAGAAGAGGAATGCGGCGCAGCTTGGCACGCACAGGGCACACACCTGGTCGACGCATCACTTTATGCACAAAACCGCGCGCACAACCCAGTTCACGGGTGAACAGGTGGTGGAATTCAGAAGGCGCGTTGGCCGGAAGATCACCTTGAACGTCGACTTGAGCACACAACATAGACGCACCGACGATGTTGATGGACAAAGCCCTGTTGGCATCACGTCCCAAAAGCGAGCTGCCATTGGCAGTTACATAAAAAGTAATGGAAGCAGTGCGACTGCGATAGGAGACCTGAGCTGTAAAAGCACCTAAATTATCAATCTTTCCTTGGAATATGTTTGTAGAACGACGTGTGAAGGCGAAAGCCAAGTGTTGGAAAAATGACTATGAAAATCAGCGGCACTGATTAAAGCGACTGAGGCACCAGTGTCCACGAGAAATGACAAGGGCACATGGCCCACTGAAGCTACGATGCTGGGCTCGGACGTAGTGTGGAGGCCATCCACATTTAAAACAGTGACCGTATTGGTTTGTGCAGTGCTCGAAGGAGCGGACGAAGAAACTGGTTCCGGAAGATTTGCTGGACGGGAATTGCATACGGACTGAAAATGTCCGATTTTTCCGCACGCAAGACAAGTGAGGTTTCTCGCGGGACACTGCGCAAAATTGGCTAAATGCCGAGCCGATCCGCAACGAAAGCAATGCGCGGTTGCGCTTGAAGAAGAAATTTGCGAACACGAGTTTGGAGCTCGGTGCTGTTCTTGAAAACCAGAATTCGGCGGAATGGGGTCGCCATATTGCCGGCTTCCTCGCCCCCGCGACGCAGAGAGGCCGCCATGTTGGCCGCCACGGAAGGACTGTGCAGACGGGCGTCCATGTTGGCCGCCACGCCGAGACGAAGGACCGCCATGTTGACGCGTCCCGTGAAACAAAGAGCCGCCGTCTTGGCCCCCCGCAGCAGAAAGTTACTGCACTGAATGCGGAGCGAATTGCTCCAACTGGGAGCGAATAAGCTCGTCCTCTCGCGCAATCGAGAGGGCTTCGGATAATGAAATTGAGGAGCCTTTTTGAAGCATGCGGCAGCGCACATTTTGCGAGGCTACCCCGGTGAAAAGCTGATGGCGGATCATATCGTCCTCGAGCGCGCCGAAGCCGCACGACGCGGCGAGCGTTCGAAGAGAAGTAATGAACTCGGCGACTGGCTCACCAGGAAATTGTCGCTTTTCTTGGAATTTGACGCGTGCGAGGTAATCGCGCGAAATATCTTTAAAATGCTCATCGAAAAAAGCAACAGCATTCTTGAAGGCATCGCCCGACGCTGGCGTCAGCGACGCGCTGGTGGCGTCCAAAGTATGGAAGAGCTTTAACCCGGCAGGGCTCAACGCGTTGAGCAGCAGGGCCTTGAGACGCTCGGGCTTGCTGGCGTCCTCCCCGACCGCGTCTGCGTAGGCCTGAAACACCAATTTCCAGCCCGCGCCCACGGAAGTGGCGGGTCTCCGGGCGAATGAAGAAATAGGGGAGGTGGAATAGGAGACGCCATTTCAAGCAAGAAGAATGGAGAGGTGCAGACGAGAAGAAAATGACGCCAGTACACTGTTTGAAGACGAAGGCAGAGGCGGCGTAGCTGAATGAAAAAATGAAGCGACGCAGCACGCAGCAGCCACCTTGCTGGGAACAAGAGCGTCTAGGTTTATCAGGGTAGGTCCGTTACAAGCAAGAAAAAGACGAACACGGAGAACGAAATGGGTTCTTACAGGTCCTCGTCGCCATTGCTGTGTTGGGGGCTGGCTGGTCTCGACGAAGCAGAAGAAGAAGACGGCCGACGGAGACGTACGCGGCCCGTGGGGACGCCGACCAGCCCGAACACGCGGGTTGGCGCGAAACGCCGAAGGAAAGAACAACAACCGCACTCCACGGTTATCCAACACACCTGATTTTATTTTACAGTCGCCTTGAAACCCTGGATGCCAGAGCGGCGCCCCCTGGCATCCTCACATGTCATTCCGAAACCGAAACCCAGAACACAACAGTCACGTTTAGAGGTATCGCTAGCTACTCTGCCTATTCAATCAGCGCCTAACCAAAAAGTGCATGACGTCACTTCCGTGCAGCACAGCAGCTGTTTCTGTGTGGGGGTGGCTCGTGCGCCATAGAGTTCCTCAAAATTAACTAGAGGGCACTCCGGCGCTGCGATCGTTCAGCGACCATGGGAATGATGGCAACTATTGTGGGAACCCTCGGTCTGTATTGTGGGCCACCCTCGGGTCTGTATTGTGGGAAAGTCTATGTAGACCCGAGGGTGGCCAGCGGGCGAGGACCAAAGCCTCTCGCAGAGACGGGCTTCACCAGGAGAGAACGGGCCTCCCTGTTGCGACTGCGGACCGGCTGCGTGTGGACAGCGGCCTACCACCACGCCAAGGGCCTCTGTCCCTCCCCGGCCTGCAGCCGTTGCGGAGACCCAGAGACCCTCGAACACCTCCTCTGTGCCTGCCCTGGCTTAGCACAGGAACGCTTGAGGGTTTATGCGGCCTACAGGAGACAGAGTCTGCCCGTCTCCACCCTGGAACACCTGCTGTTCCCGTCTCGTCCACATCCAGCAGCACTCCAAAGCCTGGCGGAGTTCGTGGAGGAGTCAGGAATCACTGCCTACCGCTGATCCCAGGAGTCATGCTGCCCTTGCCCTTGCCGACGGCCTGCTGCTCGCGCTGAAGCGGACCGGACATCCCTCCTTACACACCACACACTATTTCTCCTATCCTCTTTCATCCCCCTCCACCCCACCCCAAAGGCACTGCGCCGTGTCGCCTGTAGGCAGACAGAAATTAGGTGCCTTCTTCCTTTTCCTCATGAACCACTAACAACAACAACTCTATGTCGTGCGCCGCGCGGCGCAGCAGTCTCTGCCAATAGGTCGCGTCTTGCCAATATCTACGGCGACCCTAAGCTAAACAATTTAGCTTTATGAATATGTGAAAAAAAGTTGGCAACTGAACGTGATAGCATGGTTTTTTTACTGGTAGCATTACGTATACAGAATATTTTAAGCGTGAAATGGATGTAATGGTATAGTGTATTAGAATAGCAATGGGAGCATGTACGTGCTCTTTCCAATCTTTCCCACACAAAACACGCTCAAACTTCCTGCGCGCATAGCTATTTTTTCATTATCTGCTTGCGAGTCTTAATTCAATACCAACACAAATTTCAAAGCTGTGGTGTAAGTAAGCTTAACGTTTACACAACAGTATTTTTATTTGAATTAGTAGCACAACATGGCACAATATTGCTAGTGTTTAGGAAAATAGCAGTATATTTCTAGACACTGTAATATTGCCGTCGATTACAACTGTGTAAGAGCCCAATTAGCGTAATCGCCAGGCGCATCTCGTTTGTTTTGCCTGTTCACGTGAGTCATTTTTATGTCGTCCGTAGTGTCTGCTAGAGTTTTCGTTTCGCAGCTTTCTGCCACAATATTTTCCGCGTTTTGGCGCATCCAGTATTTGATTGTTTACTGCTGACGCACGCCCTGACATCGGCTCAATATACCAGTCTGCTATTTGGGCTTGTGACGGTGGTGCTACTGTTGCCGTGCCTTTGACAGTTGATTGGTACGTATCGTTTTCACCGCTGGCCACGTTTAACGTAATAATATTACACTGTGTAGTTTTCAGTGCTTGAACGATCTGCGAACATTCCCCATCGAGTGTACCTGCTTAAAACGGAATTATTAGGTTTGTAAGTGGCCATCTATACTGCATGAACGTATCGACTCATGGCTGCCGTGTGGTGCAGAGACCGTGTTTAGCTGTTGCACAGAAGTATCTTGCTTTAAAACTTGGGGTCCGGGGGTATGTACAACATAGTGAAGCTCATTCCTTCTCGTTTACTGTTATTTCTTTCCAGCGATATGATCGAACATAAAGTTTGTATACCAGAATGTATCGATACCAACCAGCCGGTAAAGATGACCCTCCCAAGCGGCCCTCTCGGCTTATCTCCCGAAAGGAAAGAATTGAAGGCGGTACAAAAAAAAAGTCAAAGCCTTCCTGTTATAAAAACGCCTCTCGAAGAGCTCCGTCTAGTACACGACAACGCTGTTGCAGCCTCACTAGCACATGGCAGCGCAAGTTCGTCGCCTGATGACGAAGCCTTTGAGCTAGCACCCAGATGTGTTGCTGAAAAGAACTGCATTTCTGATTCTCAGACTCCATCGTTGACGCCTAGGGTGGAATCGGTTCGTCTTTCTAGTCTTGTCAAGTGTCCATCGTCCACCAGCTTGAATCGACCTCTGAGTTTTGCAACAGAGCAACTGCTACGTCAGACCAGTTGCGTGAGTACAGGCAGCCTCAAGTCCCTCAGTGATGTAACCAATGGTAGTTATGCCAAGAAAGCTCATCAACTGTCTCTCTGCAAAAACGGAGCCCCCAACTGGTTCAACATGCTGTGTTACCGAGGTACACCACTCTTGGACAGCTTCAGGCATGTCAGAATTTCAAGATGTTAGTGACCTTCCTCCATGACCAACCAACTATTCATTCAAGATTTTAACTAAGGATGCTCGCCGGACGTTCGTGGGCTACACCACATCAGTACGTAAAAGAAAAAAAATGGGGGGGGGGCAGGGGTTGAGTTAACTGCATGCTGAATTTATTTTGTGGGCCGAATTCCACATGTCTAGCGGCCAGGTTTCACAGAGTGATTGCAACTTTTGAGTGATAATAAACAATGTAAGTGGTAAAAACATTATTCAAGTCATAAACAATTGGCTTCCAAACTTAAGTTATAATGAGGCTTAGTAGGTTGCCATGCAGAAGAGGTCGTTACACACGGTGTCTCTAGTTCAAATATTGTATTTTGGAGCAGTAGCAGCTGCCCTGCATGAGTGTCATATTAAGCAATATTTCTCTTTCTAGTGTTCCGTCTGGAGTAAAATAATTTCTTTTCTTTTTTCTAGACTTGAAACGAAATATATTGCACACAACTTGTTTCTCTTTTAAAGGAAAAACAAGTCTACTAGTGTGCATGTCGTGGTTGACATTTTCGATATGTTTGAAATGAAAGTTGATTTGCAAGAACAACACTGTTTTGCTTGGGTGGTGGATTAAAGTTGACTATATGGAACTCTTACTCAAGGCTTGGCCTACCTGCCATTGAACCATATGCATCATCATCATCATCATCATCATCATCATCACAGTTGGTCACAGGCATGAACAGTGTCCTCCATAAGTGGTCTTCATACACTGGCTGTACCCTATCGTCTCTCTTTCTCCCTTTTGGCACTGGTCACAAGAAAAAGAAAAAGCCCTTTTGCACAAACTGCACGATTTATATTCAGTGGTACGTGGATTTTCTCGTGCATGTTTTATGGTTGGAATGCTACACACAATAACTTAAGCCAATCACTTTTGTGAGCTCCTACATAAATGGCAACTACGATGTTCGGTGTTCTGCGTGTAGTTCCTTTTTCACACTTTATTATGAATGCTGCCAGCCCACTGTCAAAACTTCACTTGAGGTATATATTTGATCCCACCCCCATCAGACCCAATGTGGGAACTATAGCCAGTACGCGTCTCTATGAAGTCGACTACATTTATTATAATGTATGACATACCAGTACATGTTTTCAAATATTTTGGTGACAGTAAAGCTGTCTTCTTCTTGCACCTTTCTCTCTGTAACATTTTAAAGATTTGTATTATACCGGCACCTCAAGGGCTCCATAATTGGCATTGAGTAGTTGAAGCATTAAGTTCCTGAATTAAATTTTTTCTCAGTGGAGCTGCCACATGCCTAAATTTAATCCAAATTGACCAGGTGATGTCAATAACAATGACTTTTGAAATGAAGAATTTGGGGTAAACACGCATTTTAACAACTCCTAAATGCATTCAGGGATAGTGAAATGTAGAACAAAGCATGCAGTGGTGCCATCAGCTTGAGTTTTGTTTCTGTCTTTTATACATTGCTACAAATCATAGCAACCTGGTCCCTACAAGTTCTATCTCAAGCCTAAAATCCCACATAACACCTGTCATGCGAAATTTGTTGCACTTGAGGTGAATTTTATTAAAGAGCCACTTGGAAATAACATTATAAATTTGTAAAGGTGCGTTCACACTAGAGCAACACGACACTGACAAGATTCCGATGAAAACACGCGGCAGACCCCATAGTCACACAAAGGTGAACACGAAGACGCCTCAAATGACAGCATTTCCTCGTAGTGTAACATGTTGAGAAAACAAAAACCCCAGCAAAACGCATCCGCAGACCTGTCGTCGGCGTGTCATCGGGAGATCGGAGGCAGAGCGAAAATTCGCCCCATGTCTGCTTCAAACCACCACTAAGCGGACAATCTTGAAGGAGTTAACAATACCCTCTCTGAGGCTTTCATGGCGTCTGAATAGGCAGCTCAAGCCCCACTGGAAGTCTTTTATTCGCTACCCTATTGTGTATCCCCGACCCCGTCCCTCGTTACCATGTATTATGGCGGGCGCTGCGCCGAGTAGCTTGAGAGGGACAATTTACAGCAGGGAGCATGGCTGAAGATGAGGTGCAGGTGTGCAAGTTTAGCCGGTGTCGCTGCGTGTGTCCCCAATGTGACTGCAGAATTGGCCAACGAAAAATTGTGAGCACGACAAGACACAGGCAGGGCCGAATGGAGATTACCGGCGAACTGCTTGTATCTTTTCAGTGTACATAAGCCGACGACAAGAAAAAAAGGCACTCCTAAAGGCAGCCCGCAGACCAAAATCGGTGTTGTGTCTCTCTAGTGTAAACGCGCCTTAAACAGGGGGCCAGCGCTGGAGCAGACGTTTGGACGAGTGGACTTCTCTTTTTCAAGGCTGTAACACAGACAAGTCCACTTGACAAAACGCCTGCTTTAGCTCTGGCCCCCTGTTTACATATTGCTCATTGCAAGCTGCTATCTTAACTTCTTGCCTTCCTTTTGGAAATGATGTGATTTGGTAAAAGTTGTATAATAAATATAACATGGTACATGCTGTTTTTAAATGGTTTATGCATGCTACACTGTGCATGCCTTGGAGGCAACAGAACACAATTCTCAGTCGAATATGTTCTAGTGAAGGCATTACCTGATGAAATGCATTAAGCCTTTGTGTGATTCGCCCTTGTGGCGCTGCACAAATAGCATTAAATTTTAAGGCATTAGAAAGTTAATGCCATTTTTTGTGCTGTTACGACCGGCCCCAGCGTTGGGATTCTCCGAAGGTTTGCGAACCCCTCTGGGAGATCGTCGACGCATTCCCGGGATAGCCTGCACCTGAGACGGCCTTGCAGCCAAGCAAAAACAAAGGTCAACGCACTGGTTTTGCGCTAGGGAACCAAGCAAGAGGAGTTGCGGGGAGAACCGGTTCTTGACCGACTGTGTCGTCGACCCCCACCTCCCCATTCAGGCTCCTCCCTCTCACCGGGAGAATTCCGGAATCTGCTGTGCGTTCATGACCATGTTTGGGCATTTTTTAGGGCGTCGTGACCATATTTGGGCATCGTCTTAGGTTGTGCCCCTCCATGTGTTGTGAGGTGTATTTCCCCTCCCTCGTGGCCGAGGTGCGGGGGCCACTGTATTGGCTGACGATGCGGACAATGCGCCCAGTGTTGGCAACGCGGCACTATAAAATGCCGAAGACGTTTTGTATCTCTCTCTCTTCTCTCTTTGGATCAGTTGATCACTTCTCAACATGTAAATAAATCTCTGTCGTTCGTTCGGGCGCTTCTTCTCGCTGAATTGTCGGACGATGGATCCTGCTACGGGGCCAACTACCGAAAACGAGACCGGCCGGACCCGGAGTCCCAACAACTGGATGGCAGCGGCGGGATGCCGATAACCCCGAAAGCGACCATTGGACGGAGTGAGCGCGAAGTCCAACAACGGGACAACAGGAGAAGGATGACACGAGCTCATCGACTTCCAGAGGGAATCGAACGGCACTTCCGAGAGGTACGACGCCGGAGATATGACTGCGAACTGGGTGAGTGCCGGCTTTCTCTGTTAAACTTTACCAGGCATTTACTCTATGTGTTAAGTAAAAGCTGGTAGAAAGGGGCTGTCTTGGTCATTGGGTTAACAGGTAACTTGCGTCAGACAGAAATTGTGTGATAGCTTGGTTAAGCTCTTTCTGTCAGTGGCGTCAAGGTTAACAGTGACAGGGCAGGATTCTGTGTAAGAGCTTTTTGAAGCTTTATTTGTAGACTAAGTTAACGGAAAACTTGAGGCAAGGCAGGAATCTAGAGCTGTCGTTGCCGTCAAGGTTAATTAGTTGCAGGACAGGAATCTTTGTGGAACAGAGACAGCGGTACTGGAGGCAGCCATGAATCTGGATTCCCTGCGAAAGTCCATGTTGTTGCTACTTGCAAGGGAGTTGAATCTGGAGGTGTCGGACTCTCAAAGAAAACCAGAGCCGATAGAGGCGATTCTCGCATTGGGGGCGGAGGATGACGAGCTGTCAGAATGTGTCGAGGAGATTCAGGAGAGGCAAGCGGCAGAGGCCGAAAGAAAGGCGGCAGAGGCCGAAGGAAAGGTGGCGGAGGCCGAAAGGAAAGCGGCAGAAGCCGAGGCAGATAAGATACGAAAGCACGAGCTTGAAATGAAGCGCCTCGAGCTAGAGATTAGCCATAATAGTAGAGCAGGAGGCAGCGAAGCATCCGGTACCGCAGAGCGGGTCAGGTTCAAAATGACGGACCTAATGAGACCGTACAAGCTAGGGGAGGACATTGGGCTGTTCCTCGTCAACTTTGAGAGAACTTGCGAAAGGCAAGGTTTTGACCAGGAGACATGGCCACAACGCTTGTTGTCACTACTTCCGGGGGAGGCATCTGAAGTAATCGCGCGCCTGACGAAAGAGGAGGCTGACGAGTACAGTGAGGTAAAGTCGAGCCTTCTCAAGAAATACAGGTTGTCAGCGGAAGGTTTCAGACAAAAATTTCGCAACGCCGTAAAAGAGAACAATGATTCATACCCGGAGTTTGCTTACTAGTTAATGGCCAACATGGGGGAGTGGCTGAAACAGGCAAAGGCGTATAGGAATCATGACAAGGTGCTCGAGTGTATCGGTCTGGAACAATTCTATCAAAGGTTACCAGAAAAGGTGAGGTTCTGGGTGCAGGATAGACCAGACGTGAACACCGTAACAAAATCCGCAGAGCTCGCTGAAGAATTCGTTACGCGCCGCGCCCTCGGGGCAAGCAGCGAGCCAAAAAGGGAAAAATTCCTACGACCGAATAAGGCGCCGTTTAGAAAACAACCGACAAGTCTCGCACAAAAGGGTGAGGAAAACAAGGCATCTAACCATGAGGCGTCGGCAGAGGCAAGCAAAAGGAAATTTGAGGCGAAAAAACCGGCGGCTTGTTTCAATTGCCACGAAACAGGGCACTTCGCGAAACATCGGCCGAAAGAAAAGGTGGCCTTTTTATCTATTAAATGAAGCCGACGAGAACATGAAGTTGTTAGAGCCCTATATGTACGACCTTACCGTGAACGGCAAGCAGTGTCGGGTTCTTAGAGACTCCGCAGCCACTATGGACGTAGTTCATCCGTCCTTTGTTCAGTCCGGACAGTATTCAGGAGACTGTGCCTGGATTAGACAAGCCGTAGAAGCAAACAGTCAGTGCCTTCCCGTAGCTAAAGTTGTCCTTAAAGGCGCATTTGGTACGTTGGAAACAGAAGCCACGGTATCGCCATATCTACCCCCTCAGTATCCTTACTTATTTTCAAATAAGTCAGATCAAATGCTGAAGGAGAAAGGTGTAACGTTGGGAGAAGGCATAGTGCAGGCACTGACTAGATCGAAGGCACGTGCGCTGGCTGCGAGAGCAACATTCACTGAGGCAAACAAGCCTCAAATCGACAACGGGCCTGGTTGCGAGTTGGACACCACGGTAACAAATCGACTTGTGCGAGAACAGGCTGCAGAAGCCGTAGTCGCGGAGGCAACCATTCCTAAAGGCGACGATGAACATCCTCCCGAATTGGAAGGGGTCAATTACGCCTCGTTGACCGAGCAAATAGAAAATGCCGTTGCTACCAAGCCGATTCCTGGTAGTACAGAGGATAGCACAGAGGGTAACACATTCCAGGTACTATAGAACTACAAAAGAGTTGTGTGTAATGCCCACTTCGGATAATTTCAGTCGGCTGCTGCAGGTGAGCCCCGCTTCATTATTAACCGAACAAAGGGTGACCTGACGCTTAAGTAATTCCAGGACAGTTCGAAAGAGGGAATCGCCAAACAAAATGTGAGATTCCAAGAGAGGAGCGGCATACTCTATCGAAAATATCTAGATAGGCGAGGAGTAGAGTTTGACCAGGTAGTCGTACCTCAGGCGTATCGTCAAGATTTGCTTAGTTTGGTGCATGGAGGATCATGGTCAGGCCACTTAGGCGTAAAGAAGACGAAAAATCGTCTTTTACAGGAATACTACTGGCCTGGATGCTTTAAAGATGTAGAGAGGTTTGTAAAATCTTGCGATGTGTGTCAGCGAGTGGGTAAGCCGGGAGATAAGGCGAAATTTCCAATGAAGCTGGTACCCGTAATCACGGAGCCCTTTCGTCGGTTGGTAATTGACACAGTAGGTCCTTTGCCCAAGACAACTTCAGGCTACCGTCACATCCTGACCTTAATCTGCCCAGCTACTAAATTTCCAGAGGCGGTCCCGCTAAAAGAGCTAAGTTCCGTGGAAGTAGTGAACACACTTCTGTCCGTGTTTGCCCGGGTAGGCTTTCCTGCCGAGATACAATCAGACCAGGGCACCATTTTCACGAGTGCCTTAACGACAACCTTTATAGAGCGGTGTGGCGTGAAATTATTGCATAGTTCAGTCTACCATCCGCAGTCGAACTCGATAGAGAAGCTTCACTCCGTGATGAAGCGAGTGTTAAGAGCCTTATGTTTTGAACGAAAAACTGACTGGGAAATGTGCTTACCTGCAACGATGTTTGCACTAAGAACTGCACCACATGAGACAACAGGGTTTACGTCAGCGGAACTTGTTTACGGCCGCAGACTGCGACCTCCTCTTCGTATGCTGAGAGAGTCGTGGGAAGGTCAGGATGATGATCCTGTAGTAGTGGAATATGTCCTCACCTTGTTGGATCGTCTAACAAAAGCCCAAGAACTGACCGAGAGTGCGATGACCAAAGCACAGCAGAAGGCTAAGCTTTACTACGATCGAACAGCTAAAGCGCGACACTTTGCTGCAGGAGACAGGGTCATGTTGTTGAGACCCTCCCAAAAGAATAAGCTTGAAGTGCAATGGGTCGGCCCGGCCGAGAATACTCGAAAATTGTCTGACACAAACTATGTGGTAAAATTACCAGGAAGTCGTAAGGTACACCAGGTGTATCATAGCAACTTACTCAAGCCCTATAAAGAGAGGGAAGCCATCGTGAACATGACTTTAAATGTTCCGGAAGAGGTTCCGGCAGAAATTCCTGAATTAGCTCCCGAATCGGACGAAGTCCCGATCGAGAAAAGAGTTGAGGATTTAGTATCAAAGTCACAGCTGACAATGAAGCAGAAGCAGGAATTGCGTGGTCTTTTGACCGAGTTTCAGGACAGATTTGTAAGCGAGCCAGGCCGGACATCCGTCCTCACTCATGACATAGAACTTACCTCGTCGGAACCGGTAAGATCTAAGACGTATCGGGTGTCACCTCGCCGGCTTGGGCTAATAAAAGCAGAGGTTAACAGGATGCTGGAATTGGGCGTGATTGAGCCGTGTGAAAGTGATTACACTTCCCCGTTAATTCTTGTGGAGGTACCCGGCAAAGATCCGCGTCCTTGCGTAGACTATCGTAAGTTAAACCTCATCACCAAGGATCAGACATACCCAATTCCCCACATTGAGGAACGCGTCGAGAGGGTAAGCAGCGCGGAATTTATCTCAACGCTAGACCTAGTGAGAGGTTACTGGCAGGTGCCGCTCACCGAGAGGGCGAGCCGGTATGCTGCATTTATTTCACCATTGGGGACATTCCGCCCTAAAGTGTTGAGTTTCGGCCTAAAGAACGCGCCTTACTGTTTTTTCAAACTTAATGGATAAGGTTTTGCGGGGTCAAGAGGACTTCGGAATGCCTTACTTGGACGGCGTCGCCGTGTTTTCCTCGTCCTGGCCAGAACACTTGGCCCATTTGAGAGCAGTACTGACACGCCTACGCGAAGCAGGTTTAACGGTAAAGGCGCCCAAGTGTCAGCTAGCACAAGCAGAGGTACTCTATCTCGGGCATGTTATCGGTCGAGGGCATCGCCGTCCCTCTGAAATGAAAGTGGCAGCTATCTGAGACTTTCCTCAGCCCCGAACGAAAACCGATATTCGGGCTTTTCTTGGAATAGCTGGTTACTATCGTAAGTACATCCCTAGATATTCCGACATTGACAGCACCCTTACTGACGCGTTGCGCAAGACCGAGCCCCAAATGGTCGACTGGGATGAGGAGAAAGAAAAGGCTTTCCGCGTTTTGAAAGCGGCCTTGTCGAGCCAACCTTTGCTTAGTTCACCGGACTACTCGAGGCCTTTCATAGTGCAATGCGACGCTAGTGATAGAGGCATGTGGGCAGTTCTTAGTCAAAGGGATGAGGGGGATGAAGAGCATACCGTCCTCTATGTTAGCCGGAAAGTCACCCTTCGCGAGCAGGTTTACAGCGCTAGCGAAAAAGAATGTGCGTGCTTGGTTTGGGCAGTCCAGAAACTGGCTTGTTATATTGCCAGAAGCAAGTTCATTGTGGAAGTGGATCATTGTCCTCTCACCTGGCTTCAGACCATGTCCTCTAAGAACGGCCGCCTGCTGCGTTGGAGCCTCGTTTTGCAACAATATACGTTTGAAATACGCTACAAAAAGGGTGTACTCCATGGCAACGCTGATGGCTTAAGTCGATGCCCCTGACGCGAGAGGATGTCTCGAGAACTCTGGCATTTTTTCCTGACCTAGACAAGGGCTAGTGATTGTTTTGTTTTACTCTTTTAGGTGTACTTGTTTGAAAACGTTGAAGACACGGCTATCCAGGCTTTCGGGTTCGGTGTGCTTCCAGTGTTGTTGTTTTGTGTCACCTTAACGTATGAGTAACATTTTGAATAAATTGTGTATTTCCTTTAATATCAGTTAAAGGGGGAAATTGCCTGGTGGTGTTTGGCGGAATTGTCCGGCGCTCACCGGCTGAGTAGTAGTGTTTTCATGTGCGTATGTGATGTCTGTTGAGCCCACAATGAAGCAGGTGGTGCCCTCTACTTCATCAAAGACGGTCGTCACCAAACCGACTGCCGGCGCTGATCTCTCCGGACAGTGGCTGCAAACCTCAGCCCATCAAGATCTTTACCCCCCCCCCCCCCCCCCCCCGGTGCGAGAGACTGTTACGACCGGCCCCAGCGTTGGGATTCTCCGAAGGTTTGCGAACTTCTCTGGGAGATCGTCGACGCATTCCCGGGATAGCCTGCACCTGAGACGGTCTTGCAGCCAAGTGAAAACAAAGGTCAACGCACTGGTTTGCGCTAGGGAACCAAGCAGAGGAGTTGCGGGGAGAACCGGTTCTTGACCGACTGTGTCGTCGACCCCCACCCACTGACCTCCACTAGGGAGCTGGATGGCGCACCGGCGCTACCCGAAGCGGGAGCTTGCGAAGCCACCAGAAGTGCCGCCGCTTGTCCCGGAAGGAGGTCGTCTGCTGCGCTACGCGGTACGCGCGACGCGAGTTATGCCGGCGTGCTGCTGTTCTTTGGATCGCGTTTCATTCATTTCTTTTTTGTAAATACTTGCTCGTGGTTAGAAGAGTAAGCCAAGTAACAATAAGGGCTATGTAGGCACAGATCAGGTTTTGTTTAATGCGCTTTTAATGAGACAGCGTATGCACGTAAAACTGCCTTTTTTCTGACGCGCGTCCGCTTGATTTTTCTCAAGATTTGGAGTGGCTGTCCGGTCTTGTACAAGGCGTGGGATCTAGCGACGCAGGCCGCGTTCATAGAAGCTTTTACGGCCGCTTGCACGTGTCTCTGCGGGTTTCTGAGTGTTTGTCGTATTTGTTTGGTTTGCTCTCGATCTTTTCCTTTTTTTTTCTCGTGGTAGAGAGTGGCCGTCGCTTTAGGGTTACGGGGATAAGTCTGACGTGGATCTGACGTAAATAAGTCAGGAATTGGGGCTCTATCCTTGGGTGGTTTTCGTTTCGGAGTTTTCTGAAAAAAGGCATGATTTTCGTTATAGTGACCATCACAACTCAACCATCAATTTATGCACAAACAACAGCAAATCTTATAAAATAAACTTATTTGCATGCATGAAGGAAGCTGCAGTTACAGGTGACACATCCAGGCATGAAAAAGTACTTGTGTACACAAACACCGCAATAATGCAAGAAAAAAGCGAGGACATGCTGGACCATTTGGTAACCGTGCAACGTTGATTCTTTGCCCCTGAAATACAGCTTCACCTTGCAAAACATCCGAGCGGTGCTTTTTAGCTAGCAGTCAGCAAGGGACTGGTTTCCGCACCGCAGCATACATCTGTCCGGAATCAATAATGCTTTTAACGACGAAACTGCAAGAATGGCGCACACATTGGAAAGGCATGCACCAAGAAGCGTTAAGACACCCAAAAATGGTGCCTGCACGGTTGTCAGCAAGACAACGTTCAGCGCAATGTGGAGACACAATCCACCTAGGCTGCGGATAGACAACGTGTTGCTTCTTATGTGGTCAGGCCAGTTTCTTCATGTTTTTGGTTCCGCAACACTTAACATCGTCGACGCCCTGAAAGCTCACTTTGACTCACAACAATCGGAGCTCTACTGTCGAGCACGCTTGCAACGTCGACATCAAGAACAGGGAGAAACCGCGGGTGCTACAATACAGCACTAAAACTTGGATCATATACGCAGAACCGTAAGCCAGGCATAGCTTCTGCGCCGCATGGGTCCCAGATCATGACTCGTCAAGCATTGGCACATTAAACCTCTCAATCAATCAATCAATCAATCGATCAATCAATCAATCAAATGATCCACCGGGGAGGTCACGAATTGCAGTGTTCCCACAAGCGAATAGCAGTCGGCGGTTTAATGAAGCGTCGTACATATGTGCACTCCAGGCCTTCGGATTTCGGACTGCACAACAGAGAGTGCGGTCGCACATATCGTCTTCCACTCACGCACTGCTAGTCTACCGCGCGAGAAAGGCGCTATCGGGAATTCTCCGGAGCGGCGTCGCAACAGCGCGCACGGCGTGCCGTCTCAAATATCACCCAGGTGTGTGGCCTTGGGCAGTGGTATATATCACTTTTGCCGTGCATGTGAGAAGCTACATCCGGGAAAGATCTTCTTGCAGGCCATGACTTTGCGTAGTAATGATTGGTGCACAGAGAAGAAGAAGTCTCACCTCTTCTGCAAGTGTTCCGGGAAAGAAAACAGCGTTGGGATGGCGTCGCTTTTCAGACGCGTCCTTGAACCCGAGCGGTAAAAACACGCCTCGGTAAAGTGGCTGCTGCAAAGTCTGCTGCCTGGAGATGGCTTCCATTTGTCCCTTTTGAGGTTAACAACCCACTGCTGGTACAAGTGGGGCTGGGAACGCGGAAACCTGCAAGACAAATACCGGACAGCTTTAACACGCCGTTCAACGCATCGCAAATGCTCCGTGCTCATGCTCCGTGTAAGTCAGTTACGGGGAATTAAGAATGATTTAAGGGCACTTACGCATGAAACGTCTTTCCAGAAGACTTTTCTGGCCTGCTTGTGCAATTAACAGCACAGCAGGCAGGCATTCTTTTGAGAGAAGTCCAGAAAACACGCACGCCGCCAGCAGTCAGGCGGGAACAAGCACCTGCTTCCTGGACAAGGCCGCCGACTTCCGGTGGCTTCAAGCCGGCGCGCTCTAAGCGCCATCCAGCTCCCTAGTGGAGGTCAGTGCCCCCACCTCCCCATTCAGGCTCCTCCCTCTCGCCGGGAGAATTCCGGAATCTGCTGTGCGTTCATGACCATGTTTGGGCATTTTTTGGGGCGGTCGTGACCATATTTGGGCATCGTGTTAGGTTGTGCCCCTCCATGTGTTGTGAGGTGTATTTCCCCTCCCTCGTGGCCGAGGTGCCGGGGCCACCGTATTGGCTGACGATGCGGACAATGCGCCCAGTGTTGGCAACGCGGCGCTATAAAATGCCGAAGACGTTTGTATCTCTCTCTCTCTTCTCTCTTTGGATCAGTTGATCACTTCTCAACATGTAAATAAATCTCTGTCGTTCGTTCGGGCGCTCCTTCTCGCTGAATTGTCGGACGATGGATCCTGCTACGGGGCCAGCTACCGAAAACGAGACCGGCAGGACCCGGAGTCCCAACAGTGCCTGTGCTCTACAGTGTTCCATCTGTGTAAATGTAAAAATGTTACTTATCAATCAATTTATTTAGATGACTCTCAAATTATGACAGGTAGATTGCCACTATCCCTCAAGAGGAAGGTATATAACAGCTGTATCTTGCCGGTACTTAGCTACGGAGCAGAAACCTAGAGACTTACAAAGAGGGTTCAGCTTAAATTGAGGACGACGCAGCGAGCAATGGAAAGAAAAATGGTTGGTGTAACTTTGAGAGACAAGAAGAGAGCAGAGTGGATTAGCGAACAAACGGGGGTTAAGGATATCATAGTTGAAATCAAGAAGAGGAAATGGACATGGGCCGGGCATGTAGCGCGTAGGCAGGACAACCGCTGGTCATTAAGGGTAACTAAATGGATTCCCAGAGAAGGCAAGCAGGTTAGGGGGAGACAGAAGGTTAGGTGGGCAGGTGAAATTAAGAAGTTTGCGGGTATAAATTGGCAGCAGCAAGCACAGGACCGGGTTTACTGGCGGAACATGGGAGATGCCTTTGTCCTGCACTGGACGTAATCATGCTGATGATGATGATGATGATAAGGAATTATGAAGGGTGAAAGCTTTAGCATAAATCATTATTCAAGCAGTAGCAAATACAAATTGCTTGCTGCCTGAAATTTGCCATTTTGATGCATCTCTAGGAGATATCTGGTTGGAAACGTCAGTGGCAAGTGGTCACAGCTTGGTGAAGAACTAAACCGTTACTTCCCAGACAGAAAGGTCAATGTATTTGTGGCTACGTGGAACATGAATGGAATGGTAAATTTTAGCAGCTCCTTTTTCATGGTGTGTTAGGTGAACATGCATTTCTGTACAAAGTTTTGTCCCTTGTAACTAGGAGCTCATTAAGATATGCAACTTCTTGTATTGGGATCATTTTCATTTTTAACATATTTTGGGTGTTTAGATGATGTATCAACCTTGTTTAAGGCAGGTGCATAGATATACAGCTTTATTGATTCATGAGAGAATCTGGTGAGTGAAGGAGGGAGGGGGAAGAGGACACAGAATCTGAATTGCTGGGTTTTTTTTTTTTTTGTGCTTCAGCGAGCCCTTCTGGCCCATTCCACTATGCAGTGCTGTAGTCTGGTTGCAAGCTGCGCAGAGCAGCCTCGTATCACTCCTGTTGTTCTGGCCCTTGCCATGCATGCCTGCGTTTGTCTGAATAATTTCGAAAAATGTGAACAAGGTCTGCTCTGGTGCATGCTATTGTAATCCCAAAACATGTTTAGCGTAGTGTCTTCTCTAACGTACTTATTATGTACACTGCAATTTTTGTTGATAATAAATTATTTACTTTCATGTCGGTATAACGATAATGTTCTGTGAAAATTTACGATGGAACTACTACAGAAATAATATGCTAAAGTTGTACATAAATAATGGCTCATATTTCCTTGAGTTTTGAAATGATTAAAATTTTGTTCGAGCTAGGGGACTCTCAAAAAGTTGCAGTTTTGGCACACGGCCGAAGCAATGAATGCCTTAGCAGCTCATCGTAATGTTATTGGTGTAAAGCTAGGATGTTTAGGAACCACACAAACTGTAGTGAACATGGTCGAATGTGTGTTAAGCTGCAGCGTTTCACACGCACAGCAGCACGTTCTTCCTGTGTTTGGGCATGTATACGAGCCCGCCTTGGTTCAGCGGGACTGGCATTCCATTAGAGCTGCATTCCATTGGAGCTGTTTCACAGGGGTTTTTACAACACACGATGGCATCAGAAAGGCCGATCTGCATACAGCATTTTGACGGGCGTTTGTCGGGCACTTCCTTCCATGGCTTCAGTTGATACCGGGGACAGTAGCAAAAGTGCAGTTCCAATGCTCTTCAAAGCGTCCACTTCAGATTGTCCCAGACATCGCAGTGTTGGTGTCAACGTCGAAAGCAGCTTGATGAAGGAGGAAGCTCGCTTCCTTGCTTGCTTGTTCCTTGAAATGTGGCTTCCACCCACCACGGGGGATTGGCGATAAAATCGGTGGTTGATATAAAGAATTTTTTTTTATTTTCAAAGGGATGAGGTAGAAATCAATTGCCCCAAAAATAAACAAAATTTTAGAATAATCAACGTCCGGCTGCATGGCTGTTGACAGTAAGCCAGTGGTAAATGGTGTATATATGTAGCTCGCTGTTGGTGAGATGGATAGCATGAGCGGCACGGCCTTGTTGGTTAACGCAGCGGACTGAGGAGCGAGGAGTCGCTGGCTCGAATCCACAGTATGGTGCCTTGGAATTCTTTATTCCAAGGCACCAATAATATATATATATATATATATATATATATATATATATATATATATATATATATATATATACAAAGTTGAAATCAACGGGTCTCGTACTGGCATACTTGGTGTGTTTAGGTTGTATAAGAGGGACAAATAGTCAGCTGCCCGCTCTTAATAAGTTCACGTGCTACGTGACACCAAACATGCGAATAAGAGTGTTTTCACACTCGTTGTTTGGCTAATAGATGGCGCTGACTGTCACTCCTACTTCTAAATTCACATATAAACCCAAAAAAGTGGATGGAGGGGAGGCCGCTGTGATAGCTCAGTGGTTAGAGCATCGAGCGCGTTATTCGAAGGTCGTAGGTTCGGTTCCTCCTCACGGCTGGTTATTTTTTCATCCACTTTTCTTTCTTCTTTCTTCTTATTTACATTGCATTGGTTCTAATAACTTCCCCTGTACATTCCTTGGCATTACTGTCTGTTAGATCTCATTAATATTGCTCTTACAGACTGCCATTTCGTGGATGGTGCCTTCCGTACATCTCCTTCCGAATTGTGACTTGCCCGCTGCCCCTCTTCAGCTGCCGCCTGCTTCGGCAAACCGCACGCCAGTTCCGGTGGGAACAAACTACCCCATCTGGCAACCTGGAATCGCGGCACCAGGTGGTGGCACAGACGGCGCGGGACTCATAAGCCAGCCAGGAGCCGTCCACTTCGGGCACGACATCGCGCCAAGCATACCAAGCTTACGATGGTTGCTCTTACAGGTTAGTTACCTGAAAGGTGCCATTTGCTACAGAACTAGTAATTATGTCCTAGTTGCGGTGTCGTGCCCACCCGAATTCATAGATAAGATACAGCGTATGAAAGATGTTTCTTTTGTGAAGTGCCGCGCTTTCTGCTCTTTATTGTTACTTCTCGCCGGTGACGTGGAATCTAACCCGGGCCCTATGACGAAAACTGAAGCCGACACATTTTCTCAAGCTCTAGACGCCATACGGAAGCTTGAAGAAAGCCAGGATACCTTACTAGCCGAATTGAAGCTCTGAAAGAGAAGCATATTGAAGCCACCAGGAAATTCAGTTGCTTATGGCTAGAGTCGCGGCCCTGGAAAGCACTACCACGTCACAACATAACACAGGTGTAACCGAGGCAAGTGCCAATGCACTGCGTACAGTATCAAGCCAAGTGACAGAAATTTCGTCGCGGTGTAATAACTCTGAAAATAGATTACGGCGCTCTTACCTTCTTTTCTTTGGACTGGACGATGAACCTAAGGAATACTGGGCAAAATCTGAGCAGAAAATAATCGACTTCTGCTCAGAGAAATTAGGCATCACTGTGACGGAACGGCAATTTGAACGTGTGCACCGAATAGGCAAATATACAGAAGACAAGCGAAGACCTATAATAGCGAAATTAGCCTTCTTTTAAGGATAAGAACAAATCCTGTCGTCTGCACACAAACTAAAAGGTTCCGCAATTTCCATACGAGAAGATTTTTCACTGGAAACTCGGCTGTCCCGAAAGAAGCTGATTGAATTCGCGAAAACGCAGAAAAGTGCGTATAAGCTCTCTGTGGACAAGCTACGCATCGCTTCAAAGACATACATTTATGACTCTGCGACGAACACAGTTATCGAATCTGTCAGATAGCTACAGCGTTGCACGCGCGTGCAGAATCAACGACCGAAACATGCTAATACCTCATTGTCGCTGTCAATCGCTAACACACGCAGCATTATGTCGAAGCAGGATTTGATATCTGCTTTTCTGGATGACAGCAATCTGATATTATTGCATTCACGGAAACTTGGCTAAATCCTGCTATCAGTGACGACGAAATATTCACCTCAGCCAGCATTTATCAAATCTACAGGTGTGATCGCACTGGTAAAAGAGGAGGCGGTGTTCTGGTCGGCATAAGGAAAACCATTACTTCATTTTTTATCAACACTAATTCTGACCTCGAAATAGTTTGGGTAGCTTGTACAGTCCCTTCCTCCAAAATCCTCGTAGGTTGCTGCTATCGTGCGCCAGACTCGGACTCTTCCTTCATTAATATGCTACGTGACAGTATAAACAACGCTTCTGAAATTTTCCAAGCCGATATCATTTACTTACTAGGCGACTTCAACTTTCCGCTCATTGATTGGGCCACACTGTCATCGCCCTGTCACATGTCAACTGAATTTCTTAACTTAACTCTAGATTTCAACCTCTTTCAAACTGTTCTGAAACCTACACGTGGTAGGAACACCCTTGATCTTATCCTCACGACCGCTCCGGAAACAATACGTAATACAGATTACCTGGACGGATTCAGTGACCATAATTTACTTCAAGTAGATATAAACATACCCCTTCCCGTAGCCGGTGTAGATACAAAACAAATTCGGGACTATAATAAAGGCGATTATCAGGCAATTAACACAAAGCTAGGTTATTTCCGAAAACACTCTCCTGCCATGTTTCCACAATAGATCCGTAGAAGAGAACTGGCTACTTTTCAAGCAAGTTTTGTGTACGTTAGTTGACAAGCATGTTCCACTGGTTAAAATTAGCAATGGTAAATCAATCCATGGTCATAAAAAGCTTCTGAGAATGCAGAATAAGAAAAAAACGGCTTTACAATAATGCTAAGTGCTCGGGTAGTTCTTCTTCTTGGCTTAAATATAAACCTGCATAAAAGCATATTGCACAGCTTTAAGTAAGGCTAAGGAAAAGTATTATTCTAACGATCTACCCACACAACTGAAAAACAACCCAGCTAAATTTTGGAAAGTCATAAACCCCTCCAGCGAAAACCAACACATCTCATTGCATGACTGCAACAACGTCCCTCTCACAGCTAGCCAGTGTCCAACAGCATTTAATTCCTTTTTCACTTCTGTCTTCACGAAAGAGAACAGTACCAACATACCCAACGTAGCTGAGTTCGATTACCAATTTATGGAACCAATAGATATTCAATTAGAAGGCATAATTACAGCCATAAATAATCTTAAGTTGTCGTCTCATGCGGCGTGGATGGAATCAACTCAAGGTGCTAAAGAATACGGTAACGGTCACAAGCAAAATACTACTTCATATATTCCGGCAGTCTCTCGAAACAGGCATGATACCGTCTGACTGGAAGCTGGCGAAATAATTCCAATATTCAAAAGTGGAAATAAAACCTCATGCGAAAATTACCGTCCTATTTCCCTTACATGTATTTGTTTGTAAAATTCTAGAACACATCATCGCTTCACATATTTACAGGCATCTGGAATCCAATCATTTCTTTTTCAAAAATCAGCATGGTTTCAGAAAGGGCTTTTCGTGTGAGACTCAGTTGTTTGAATTTACCACAGAGCTTCATGCAAATATGGACAATAATTATCAAACTGATTGCGTATTCCTCGACTATTCGAAGGCGTTTGACAGGGTTGCACACAGTCGCCTGATATCGAAACTTTCCGCCCTGAAATTAGACTCCCGTACATTATCATGGCTTCGCAATTTCCTGTCGAATCGTCAGCAATACACAACAGTTAACAATTTGTCTTCTTCCCTATCTGACGTTTCTTCAGGTGTACCACAGGGCAGCGTACTCGCGCCATTACTTTTCCTCATATTCATCAATGATCTTCCGCAACATGTCTCTTCTTGCATCAGGGTGTTCGCTGACAACTGCATTATTTACCGTCCAATCAAGAACAGTGATCACCTGTCACTCCAAAACGACCTCGACGTAATTAATGGTTGGTGTAGTACATGGCTGATGACACTAAATGTCTCAAAATGCAAAGTAATGTCGTTCACACGTAAACCTAGCATATCCGAATTCTCTTACAGTATTAATCATTCCATTCTATCGACTGCAACACAATATCGGTACTTGGGCGTAATACTGACACCTAATCTATCCTGGTCCAACCACATTACGGCAATCTCTGCCAGCGCCTCGAAATCACTAGGTTTCTTGAGACGTAACTTGAAAGCTGCACCATCAGGCATTCGCAAATTATCTTACTTGACACTGGTTTGCCCTCAACTAGAATATGCCTGTTCGATTTGGTCTCCCCATCAAAATACTTAATTGACTCATTGGAAAGAATCCAGAATAGAGCAAGCCGCTTCATTGCCAATAACTACAGTCCGCATTCTAGTATATCACAAATCAAACAGGAACTTTCACTCCCACTCTTGAACATTCGTCGCGACATTGCCCTGCTGTCATTCTTTCATAAAATTACCCATTCTTCCCGAATCACCGTTACTGGTCTGCAAAAACCATATCTCACTTCACGTAGACTACACAATCATCTTAGCTATTCCCGTGTATACGGCTCAACAAACGCGTTCAATCAGTCCGCACTTCCACGTGCTATCCGTCTGTGGAACAGTTTGCCTGACGACATTGCATCCCAGACAAACTTTGACACATTCCGTCATATTCTATCAAGCCACTTCACAAGCCTCAGCAAGTAGATGCCGTATCATAATTCATTGGTCCGTATTGATTCATTTTTGGTGATTGTCACATTCATGTGCGCGAGGATTCTGCCTTGTGGCCGCTGCATGCGCAGGAATACAGTGTTTCGCCCACGGTTACTATGCGTGTATCTTTTGTACATGTTGAACTTTTGTACATGTTGGTGCTTTTTGTTTGACTTATATTTTCCAATTGTTTCTTTTGTATTTGTTTTAGTTTGAGATGTATATAAGTATTGCGCCCCTTACTCAATTGTTTCTTTTGTACTTTTTTTTTTCATTTGAGGTGTCTATTCGTATCCCCATTGCTCAATTGTCTGTCTTGTATATTTTTTTCCAGTTTATTTGTATATATGTATAGCCCCCCTTACTCAATGCCCCCCTGGGGCCTGTAAGGTACTTTGAAATAAATAAATAAAATAAAATAAATATTGTGTTAAAACACGGAAAAACGAGCCCTTAGGTATACACTTCTTTTCCTTATTTCATTGAACGAGGGTCTCGTACTGGCAGACTTGGTGTGTTTAGGTTGTATAAGAGGGACAATTAATCAGCTGCCCGCTCTCAATAAGTTCACGTGCTACGTGACGCCAAACATGCGAAAAAAGAGTGTTTTCACATTCGTTGTTTGGCTAATAGATGGCGCTGACTGTCACTCCTACTTCTAAATTCACATATAAACCCAAAAAAGTAGATGGAGGGAAGGCCGCTGTGATAGCTCAGTGGTTAGAGCATCGAACGCGTTATTCAAAGGTCGTAGGTTCGATTCCTGCTAACGGCTGGTTATTTCTTCATCCACTTTTCTCGTATTTACATTGCATTGGTTCTAATTTCCCTGCACATTCCTTGGCATTACTGTCTGTTAGATCCATTATTAGTGTTAAAACACGGAAAAACGAGCCCTTAGGTATACCTTCTTTCCCTTATTTCATTGAACGAGAGTCTCGTACTGGCAGACTGTGTGTTTAGGTTGTATAGAGGGACAAATAATCAGCTGCCCGCTCTTAATAAGTTCCGTGCTACGTGACGCCAAACATGCGAATAAGAGTGTTTCACACTCGTTGTTTGGCTATAGATGGCGCTGACTGTCACTCCTACTTCTAAATTCACATATAAACCTAAAAAAAGTGGATGAAGGTGGCCGCTGTGATAGCTCAGTGGTTAGAGCATCGAGCGCGTTATTCGAAGGTCGTAGGTTGGATTCCTGCTCACGGCTGGTTATTTTCATCCACTTTCTTTCTTCTTATTACATTGCATTGGTTCTAATAACTTCCCCTGTACATCCTTG